TTTTTTAAGGACAAATCTGATGTTTTCTTAGACATCAGTGAACTAGAATACATTTTAATAAACAAAAAGTGAACCATTTTTCTGAATATTCTGATTTAATCCTTTTCTTCCTCCATTTATGTTAAAAATTACACAATAATATTCCACATTTAAGTCTACTAATCTCAATAAAGCAATAGAGGAAAATTGAGAAATGAAAATACATGGAATGCTCTTTACAAGATCTTTAGGCATGGCTGCTGAACACAGTAATGAATCAGCAAACGCAAAAAACACAAAGCTAATATAAGCCAAAAATATTAGCTGGTTGATGTTTCGGTCTATTTTTTTTAACCAAATATTCTTCCTGGCAGAAATTGCATGAATGGATACATTGTTTATAATAAACAGCTTATTTTTAGAGTTCCTACACATCTGAATATATCTCTGCAAGTATTTTAAAAGTCCAATATATCTGGAAAAAAAATTGTTTCTCGACATTACATGAAAATGTGTTTAACCTGCTTTAACCTTTAGTGCTTTTAAATTTTTTAAAACAATAACTATTTTGTGGGGGGCAACAATCTTCCTTTGATATACCTGTAAACTGTAGCAGAATGTGCAAAACGATTTGCTTAAATTCAAATGGTTGAGTGGCTCATTAAAAAGGATAAATTAAACGTGTTGTTTTGCCACAAAACAGCTCGGTTAGTTTTGTTTGTTAATTTTTTTTCGTCCTCCCAGATAACGTGAAGGCCTACTACAAACGGGGAAAAGCTCACGCTGCAGTTTGGAACGAGAAGGAGGCCCGTGCAGACTTTGCTAAGGTCTTGGAATTGGACCCGTCCCTGGAAGCATCGGTGAACAGGGAGCTGAAGGCCTTGGAGGAGAGGCTCCGCTCCAAGAAGCAGGAGGAAAAGGGTCGTTATAAGGGCTTGTTCGACTTCAATGCACAGCCAGCTGCAGCTACCACAGTCAGTCCATTCTGAGTTTGCTTCGCTCTATATGTTGTTTCTATAAGCAGGCATTGATCTGAAGAAGCTCTTCTTTCTTTCTGCAGGGTTGAACATCAGAACAGACGGAGACGAAGATGCCAATGAATCTGGCGGATAAGCAGGAGAACATTCCCGCCGTTTTAGTTTTACCTGTGCACTTCAGCCAAACATATTGCCAACCTGCTCCTCTTCAGGTATACATGCAGGCACCACAAGCATTTAAGCCCTAATCCTCTGAATTCACCGTCTAAATGTGGCTCTGTGGAGTGACTTTAACGGCCCGTGGAATCAAGTCAGTGCTGCATGTTTCATTTAGAGGAGATCCTTTTTCTTTATTTATTTAAGAAAGAAGATAAGTGCTGATCCATGAACGTTTCAGTTGACGATTTGCTCCTGATGGAGAATTCACTTTTTTTTCCTAATTTTTCCCCCCCATTTTGTTTCATATGGAACTGAATTTTAGACTTGGAGCCAATATGTGATGCACAGTCTCTTTCCGTATAAGTTTTTTTTTTTTTTTATATATCTCCACTGCTGGTATATAATCTTTGTAACCATTGCTGCGTCCTTGTACAGATGCTATACTTGCAAATAGTTTTGCTTACATGCCTTGACAAGTCTGTTAACTCAAGCACTAATTTTTATTTTATTTTTTTTTTGTGGAAAGGTAAACTAGACATGAAGCCCCAACGGTTTGACAATCATTAAATTAATTCTAAAGCGCCCTCCTATGTTTTTATTTCCTGTAATGAAAAAGGTCTTATTTGAATCAGCATCTTTGTTAGCTACTTTGAAGATATTCCTTACTTCGTATTTGAAAGAGCCTGTTAGCTTTTTTGAGTCGTTAGCAAAGTGGTGATGATGTGTATGAAAATAAATTTATATTTAATCCCCAGCCTTGGATTTGTTTTTGTCTTTTAGAATATAATTTCACCAAATAAGTTGTACCGGTAAATTATAATAGCCTCTCTTACAGCTGAGCTCAGGCTGGTAATTATACCAATGGAAAAATATGTTTTATGCTCATCCTAAATATGTTTAACTTTCTTTAGTGAGATGCAAAAACAATTGAGACAAAAAAAAATAACTTTTCAAATTATTTAATTAAGATATACATACTGAATTGCAAAAATCTGGTTTACAAAATTTCCTTGCTAACAAAATGACTTGATGTAAAGAGTTCCTGGGAATGAGGGAATTCTGATGTGAGCTTTTATGACAAAACCTAAACAACTAAAATGTCCAAAATCAACACAGATTGGAGCAATTTGAACATTGATTGCATTTTCTGTTGAAGGAAATAAAAAGGAGCCAACTTTTCAAGTCAATTTCTGTTATTTCCTCAAATATTGACTCAAGCTCAAGTTCCAAATTCTGACCAATGGTACAAAATTGGTTTTGCATATACCCCACATGAGGCGGAAAGAGTAACAGATGAATTTGATGAAATGTTGAAAAGGGGAACATGATGTACCCATGAATGATCACAAATAAAGCTCAAGGTAGGAGGATGAGGAGAAGGAAAGAAAGGGAGGAGTTTCCAAAAGGGTTATGTGCGGGCGCTCCTCTCCGTTTCTGCAAGACACTCTCTGACCAGTGCGCGGGCGTGGATTATACCTGAAGGAGAAAAGAAAAGAAAATTAGTTTCAATGTTATTTGTAATGTGGGATTAGCATAAATCAAGAAACTCCCATTGTTTCCAAACAAACGGAACAATTCCTCCAACCACTTTCTCTTGTTTCAGAGCTTTGAACTTCCCAACATAGTTCCTTATGCTATAACCAAAAACACCAAGTAAAAGATTATTTTCCTAATTCCACACAAATAAAAATCTTCAAAGTTTTGTGAGCATTTTTAAATTAAATCCAGAGCCAAACAGCACCTTATAAAGTTAATCAATTCATCTTTGTATAATTTAATCCCAGTTATGATTTAGAGTTTGTTTGTTTAAGGACCAAACAGTAGAAGGACCAAAGCAGAGATGTTTAAAGCAGGGTTTGCTTATATAAAATAGAAATACCTCTCAATGGGGGAATACGGATGTGAAGGTGAAGCTTAAAACCTAGTCTTAAGATGTACAGCAAATACAGAAATGTGGAAAAAATGTTGTATTCAGGTGGAAATTAGAACTTTCTAAAAAGAAAAAAAAAAGCAGCTGGTTTACAGACAGACTGAAAGAATAGAAAAACACTTTCAGAGCAGGTGGAAAAATTAGTCATTATCTTCTGAGGAGATAAAAGCTTTGATGTAAAAAAAAAAAAAAAAAGTTTAATTAACCAGAAAAGAAACTGAGCAAAAATACATTATGTATGAGGAAAAAGACAGTCGATCAGGTAGAAAAACTAAAAGCATGGTTTTACTTGTACACGTTTCTTTTACTTGCTGGGAGCAGCAAAGTCTGTATCCCCAACAGAAAGAATATAAGAATACCCTAGAGGAGCTGTAAATATTAACAGTTCAGGTAGAAGAATCATTTGAGTAACAACACCCTCATGTAGATATGCTTTTGCTCTGCAGGCAGATAGAAGTTTGTCTGTATATATGAAGACAGACATGTTGGAAAACCTGTCAGATCCTGCTAAGGTCATCTTTACGAGCTTCAACATACAGCCAGAGCTAAAAGGGGACAGTTTGCATAAACCACACATGAGGCATCTTCTTGTCTTTGAATGGTCCAAGTCCTGCCAAAACTCTGGGGTAGGATTTGAAAACATGATGTTCAAAAATTTATTTAATCCAACCCAACCAAGCATGAGTCATGATGAGTCAAGATGGATAAATTACAAAGATGTTAGTCTTTAGATATGCAGATATCGAAAGAAGACAGAATTTAGTTAAAAGCTCTAAATAAAGATTCAGAGTCCATTAGGTACAGATATCTTAGTAAGGGGCTGTAGCTACAGATCTCTGTTTATAGACTGAAAATATATTGAACCTGTGTAGGTACCAGATCTGCTTCATGCCAGTGACGTTACGCTACATGATTGGCTGAACGTCGCCACATGATGTAAAACATAGTGGTTGCCCAGACAGCAATAACATCACGCAGCGTCCGTGTGCTAACATCTGTAGCGTTAGCATGTCTATTGACCAATGAAGTTTTACCTGATCGATAACAAAACTGAAAAAAATCTGTTTCTGGTGAACAAAGTAACTGTTAGACCGTGATATAAAGGGGGAGAGCTGGGTAGCGCTGTGGCTACCTGTGTTCAGTAGCTAACAGGTTAGCCTGTTTTAGCTCAGCCAGTTAGCCATATTAAGCTACACTACTTTTGAATTTGAATCAACAACAACTGTTCATTTCCTACGAGTAGAATAATTGTTTTATTTGTCTAATATCTATATAAAAGTCATTTTTTAAGATGCTCCATTTGTCCTCCTCTACCCTCAGATCTTAATAAAAAGAATAAAAATAAGCTGAGACTTTTTTGTCACCTTGGTAAATGGCAGAGATCAGTCTGTCGTAGAAGGCAGTACTTTCCTTCTAGACTGACAATGATTGCTTTCTACTTTCGACTACTTTAGCTCGCCAATGAAATATAAAATTATAGCAAATATAGGTGATAATATATGGAAAATCCGAAAGAGATTCGATCCTTAAGAAACGGGTGCAATAGTGGAGTTGCCATATATTGAGGTAATAAGAAGGGGCAGGGCCCCGAGCAGATCTTGTACCTACATCGGCAGGAATTGAACAACTTTCCACGACACCCATCCACATGTATACTGAGACAGCTGACAACAAGGAATACCTCTCTTTAGCCTCTCCATCGCACTCTTGCTCCCAGCATAGGTAGGCCTGATCTCACGGCTCATCTCCTCGATGACAGACAGCAGCTCGCTGTAGGTGGACCCTTGGGACACTTTGACCGGCTGGCGGAGCAGTTCAATCGGCACATGGTAAAAAGATACGGGTGGGAGGGAAGAGAGAGAGAACAGGCGTCACAATTTTTCACTGATGCAAACTAAAACCACCACCCTGCACTAGTAAACCAGTTATAAATCAAGGCTTTTCATACAGACAGGAATTTATATTAGGTTTTATTTTGATTAATCAGTGGCATGCATTCGCTTAAAAAGAAAAAAGTCATATTTTCTCAAGTTTCTTTGGAATATGTACATCTTAGTTTGACGCAGCAGGATAGCAATTTTGAAGATCACAAAGACAAAAAATACCAAGAAAACCATCAATTGTTTTTATTTGTTCTTTGATTGGCCTTCATTAAGTTTTTTTTTTCCATCTGTCGCCATAGCAGCAGAGAACAGCTAAAAATCTGTATGCTCTGGCACAGACTGCGGTTCACACGATTCTAATTACAAAACAGAAAAGTAAGCATTCAGCTCTGCACAAGGACATTTAAAAAAACAAAAGCATCCTGATAATTAAAAAAGGCTATTTTTGGAGGATCTTCCAAATAATTGCAGCTGAAAAACAATTAGATAACCATGAAGTATATGTCCAAGCTACCTTAAAATGTGGCCTAATCAACCCTCCTATCCATGTGGAAGGATTGTCTGCTGTTCTATCCACGTCTACGGCTATATTCCCTCTACGGCCACATGAAACGTCTTTAAATTCCAGGTTTTCTGATGATTTAATTCCCCTCTATGTCTGTTCAATTCCACTATAGCAGGTGTCTTATGAAATGTATCCACTGTTCTTTATTCTCAAAGCTATTTAGGAAATAAAAGGGGAACAAGTCAATGCCAAGAATATAAATGTGGCTGCAGAGAGATGTTCAGGCTTCATAAACAGATGCATCACAACATTAAAGGAATTTCAAAGTGAGAAGAAGAGATCAGAGCAGTCATTCCACACATAAGGGACCAAGGAAAGAAATCACAGATAAAGACTATCAAGATGTTTTGCACATTTAAAACAAAACTCTAAATTATAAGCCTAAAGCTTTCATTCCATCAAATGGACTTTTGCACAACTGTCTTTTCAAAATATTTCTATAAAAGTTGAAACAGACACTCCCATCCATCTATAAAATATTAGAGTTGACCTATTTAATGTTTAAATTGCATTTAAAAGTTGCATCATGAGTAATGGCCTCTACCAAGTGAGGTGATCCTAGGCTGTTTTAATGAGTAATTTATGACTTTTTATCGAGTTTTATAACCTTAGTTTATAATTGCTTTGTTGTACTTTAATAATTAGTATTAATGGATAAAACAGACGATATATTTAAATCAATGGAATATTCAGAGATTTCTGTGCTGGAAAATGCTTATTTTGTGATCTAGGGGAAGCTGGCTGATACTGATCTTCGACTAGGTAACATTATACACACACACAAACAAAACAATAGATTTTAAGGAGACATATTATGTCTTTTATTTCATAATTTATTTATTTTTTTTCAGAGGTTGAACAGAACAAATAAAAACAGATTGGAGTGATCCTGTGTTTTGCCTCAGCGAGGAATTAAACTCAGTAGCTTAGAGACAATCTAAGCAAAATGAAAGTAAAATATAAAAATAAAAAAAATCAACAACAACTATTGAGTTCCGCTTCGAAAACTGAGCATCACAATCCTAACTATGAGAGAGTTTTGAACGCTGCGCAAATTAGTCCCAATTCATCACATTTCAAGAACAACAAGAAGAAAGTTTAGTTGATTCTTCTAACAAGTAAACGTACCTGAACAAAGCCCATCGATGGTGGGCCGAAGTCACTGAAAGCTGGTCTAAAGCTGGATGATGACGGGAGTGATGGAGAGGGAACCGAAGACCCTGAGTGGAGGAAGAGTTTACATGTAAAACAAACTAAGAATAGAGCTTCTATTTAATAACCTAACCTCCTGATTATTTCATATCTTATCTCTCTAACTTAAGCTTTACAGACACTTGTAAGAGGGAGAAATTCTTCCCTATATTTCACATATAATCTCTATTTATATATCTTAGGACTTTCAGGCAGACCTGGTGGTGTGTGGTTGGAGCCCGACGGTGCAGGAGCAATAGGTTTATAACTCATGGCAATTTCAGCTGGCAGCTCCAGGTACGATGTGCTGCTTCCTTCAGTCCCGTCAGCCCAATGCTTATACAGCTTTCCTGTTGGTGAGGAGCTCCTAAGAGCTGCTCCAATAAAATGAAACACAATGGAGCAAACTGTTAAAATCCAACAATTTTTTTTTGTTTTGTTTTGTTTTTCCCCTCAGCAGACATTAAGGCTCCAAAGATACGGTTTATTAACTTGAAGATGTAGAAGTTTTAACATGAATATTTAGGAGTTCAGCTTACTGTAACAAAATGATAAAACGTTGAGCATAAAGCAGCTCCAACTAAACAAAAACTTCATTTATTTCTCGCTAAGAGATAAGCGACTTTAATGACTGTTAAGTAACGATAAGCCGCCGATCGGCGAGGGATTTCATTCAATTTGTTATCACACTTAAGATTAACCTTTATTTAAAATGTGGCATGATTTTCCCATTTGAATATCCTTTAATATTCCTGCTTGTTTTACGTAAGAAGCTTCTATGCTTTTCTAAACAGCAGCCTTCTACTGAAGGTTTTGTATGGTGCAAACAATCAACAAATTAATTTGAAGCACATCAATACAATTTGAATAATTAAGGGCTTGAATAATTTAGAGCCTAACTGTTTACAGCATCTTGCACAAGTATTCATAATGCTTTATATATACATATAAATATTAAATAAATGGTGGGAATCAATGAAAATGTACTATTGCATAAATTACAGGGCCTGTAACTCATTCATTTTAACTTGATTGCATTTTAATCGGAAACTATTTATCAACTAAACAAACCACTTTTTTGATTCAAAGACCCCTTTTTCTGCCCAAAAT